TTTCTCAATGATTTAGCTTGCATGATAAGCTAATAAAATGATATGCATATGATATGATTTTAACTTGCGCAAGTAATCAATATTAGTAAGGTAAGTTAATAAAAATAAGTTTCCTAATTAGATACAAATTGTTAAATGTCATTAAACAATGTAATCAATATGATATCAAGAGTAAATGGTTTACCGTATTTGTAATAAGTAAACTTATTAATATATGTATTAATTAATATTCGTGTGCAAGTAATATGTAATAAGGTTAGTAATTAGTGTTGCTTTCCTATTAGGTTGTCGATGGTAAAAATAAATCAAAAAAATAAATTCTAAAAAATCAACCAATAGAATCGCTAGAATTCTTCTGAGAATGGCTGTGTGAGTGCCACGTGTCAAAGTGACTTCTCTTTTAATGTATAGGAGGATATGACCGATATAAAAAAAACTTTGGTAAAATTTTCTAAAACTGAAGTAACCGAATACTGTCTAAACCGAACTTTATCTCAAATTAATTTAGTAAGATTTATGTTGAACCGAACTATCCGAAAACTGAAATGACCTCAACTACCTGAATCCGCAAGCCTAATCACTTACATCATCAACTCCATCCCATTTTAAGCATAAACACATTATTAATCAACACCTTGAAGATAGAAGACGCATCACTAGTTACGTCATTACATTTTCTCATTAAACTAATCAGTTCGTAATGTTTACTTTGACCTATGATTTGTCTACCAACCACTAGTAGCGTCACTACGTCATTTAGTACGTACATGGTATCTTCGTTAAACTACTCGTGACCTCGTACCATCTATAAATACCACATTTTCATATTATCATCTTTCATCAGATCAAAAAATGGATAGAGCAGAACAAAGCATCAGAGACAAGAGATGGAGTCTTCAAGGCATGAACGCTCTTGTCACTGGAGGAACCAAAGGAATCGGGTTTGCTTTCCAAGTCTCATGTTTTTTCTATTACAAGCAACAACAAAAATCATGTATCTCTGCAACTGATTATTTAAATCTTGATGACCAATCTTTACTCTTTAGGCATGCTATAACAGAGGAGCTTGCAAGTCTTGGAGCAAGGATACATACATGTGGTAGAGACGAATCTCAGCTTAATCAGTGTTTACAAGAATGGAAGATGAAAGGCTTTAACGTCACAGGCTCAGTCTGTGATATATCTTCTCGTGCTGATAGAGAGAAGCTCATGCAAACTGTTTCTTCTATCTTTGATGGAACTCTCAACATCCTCGTAATGTCTTCTTAACACTTTCACCATCATGGACTAAAATCTTTATACTAATGTTGTGAGAGTATAGATAAACAATGTAGGCACATGTGTGACAAAGCCAACAACAGAATACACAGCAGAAGATTTCTCGTATCAAATCTCAACAAACTTGGAATCTTCATACCATTTGTGCCAGCTTGCTCATCCTCTGCTCAAATCCTCTGGAACTGGTAGCATTGTCTTCATTTCCTCTGTTGCTGGAGTTGTTTCTTGTAGTGTTGGATCTATCTATGGTGCAACCAAAGGTGCTATAAGCCAGTTGGCGAGGAACTTAGCTTGTGAATGGGCTAGTGATAACATAAGGGCTAACTCCATTGCTCCTGGAGTCATTGCAACTCCTGCAGCTAAAACTGTAAAACAATTTTTGACCAAAACTCTTTTTCATTGTCATTTTAGTTCATCCTTGTGTTAATTGAGTGTGATGGTATTGTTCAGTTTATACTTGGAGAGGAGTTTGCTAAGAATATAGCACCAAACATACCAATGTGCCGCGCTGGAGAGCCTGAAGAAGTGGCAGCAATGACTGCTTTTCTGTGTCTTCCTGCTGCTTCTTACATTACAGGTCAAACCATATGTGTTGATGGAGCTCTCTCTGTTCATGCCTTCTGAAGCAAACATTACTTATTCACTTCCTCCATTGCTATGTGTTTGCTTTTGGAGTTTCAAATAAAGTTTGTAAATGATTCTCTTTGCTTGTAAAGAGACATACCATCTTTAGATTGTGCAATAAACAGAGAGCTTTCTCTCTTACATCGTCCTTATCTTTGTTGTTCTTTGAGAATAAACGAACTTTAAGAAACTTAGTTTACATGTAAAGGCTTTTTCACATAACAGAATGAACAATGAAGTTTACATGTGCTGTAAGTAACCAATTCAAACCATTGTTTTAAAAGTCTGTCTAGGCGCTAGTGGGCAAACAATTTTTTCAAACCGACTTTTCAAAAATGGGTCTAGGCGTTCAAAAAATCGGTCTAGACGTCTAAAGCTCTAGTTATAATGAAAGGTTACATGTCTTAGAAGTAAAATCATTCAATCTTCATTAGTGATGAATATAACTCCCTATTGAATTTAATTTTCTTGGTAATCGTTAACAAAAGAAACAAGAAACTTGGCAGTAGAGTTGGCACACTAACAAATGACATAGAATAGTACTAATTAGGATTTGATCTAACAAGGGATTTGTCTTTTATTTAGTCCAAACACATACAAGAACCAATGTCTTCTGCTTTTGTAATTAAGAACGTGGAAAACCATTCCAAATCAAGAAGATGCCTTGCAAGTTGCAACAGAAACAACCAAAAACAAAACTCTACTCAATCATCTTTCTCCTGAACCGAAACCTCCTTCTTCTCCTCCTCCCCAACAGACTGTGAACCAGTCAACCTCGCCAACAAAACAAAAGACATCCCACCCAAAAGATTGTTAACAACCCTCAAAGCCACCACACCCGTCTTAAACACCAAAGGAGGCAACCCTCTCTCCATCAAAAACTCAGCACCATTCAAAGTCTGGTACCTCACATTAGCACTCACTCCCATATGAGCCGCCCAAGTCAACGAATTCAACACTGTAGGTGGAGCTTTATTAGGCGGTTCGAACCCCGGATCCATCTTCTTCCTCAACATAATCAACCCATTAGAGATAGCCGTCCCCACAAGCCCTGCAGCTAACCCCACCGTCGCGAAAACCATCCCCTTGTAGACAAGAGTCCCGAAACGGTTTAAAACCGTGAAGCTACCCTGTTCGAACATGTGACTGGCGGGACAGGCTTTAAAGATTCCAGGCAAGAGGTTCGAGGAGGTTGCGGAAGCTGCAGAAGGTGCTAAGAGGTACATGAGAGTGAAGTTGAGGATGGAACCTACGACGAGAGTTGAGAAGACGAAGTCTAGCTCGTTGAGGCCGAAGTTTGGTCGTGACGCCATGTCACCGAGGACGTTGGCTGTAACGCCGACGAGTTCTTCCATGAGGACTTTGAAAGGGAACTGTGGATCAGCTGCGACACGTGAGCGCCATCCTTGTATGAACATTCCTATTGGTCCCCATGGAGTTGGTTCTTGTTTTCCTCCTCCTTCGCTGCCTGAATCTCCGTTGTTGTTATTATCACCACCGTTTCCTCCACCGTAGTTTCCACCGTTTCCTCCTCCGGTGGATGAAGCCACGAGGTTTGGAGATGTGCGGAGGGGAGAAAGAGATGCGTTACGTGGAAACGAGACGATGGTTCTTGGATCACGAGAGAGGTTGATGGCTCTAGGTGATGGGAGGTTGCTCTGTTTTGTCGACAAGTGGAGACGTGCTAAAGCTGATGACATCTTTCTTCAGCGAGTCAGTTTTGAGAATGGTGTGAATGGAGAAGATGATGACCTAAAAAAATCTGAGATCTGAGATCTTTAAGATTCAATCACAGCGTGCAGACAGACAGAGAGAGAGACTCTGGTGAGAATAAGAGAATCTTGTCTAACCTTTAAAAACCCTTTTTTGTTTAAACACAACAATCAATGTTGTGTAATGGGGCCCACTTCCCCACCTGCGAGCTAAAGCTGGATCTGAGCCCACCACGTGTCGAAACAATAAACTAACTTCACCAACTACTTTCACCCACCATTGTTGATTTTTTTTTTGTTCTTTCTTGGACAAAAGTATTGAACTTTCAATGTTTTTATCGATGGAGACGATGGAAAGAGACAAGCTTTCCTAGGACTAACACAATGCTCTCAACTTGCTGTTATTGGACAAAAGTATTGCACTTTCGACGTATATATATAGATGGAAACGACGGAAGGGGACAAGCTTTCCTTAGGACTAACATAATGTTCGTGTTGTTTGGTCTTTCTGTGTACTCAGAAAAGACATAACTTATTGCTGCTGCTCAAAAACACGAATATAATGTAATTAGAAGTCCATACTACAAAACTCACAAACACATGAATAAATCCAAAAAACAATCTCTATTTTAATGGTTACAAATGCATCTCACGCTACTTTCAAATTGTTTTCCTCGGTTTAGGAGGAAAGACATTAGTACTTCTCTTGGTGCTTTGTGCTTGAAGAATCACTGGTGGATCAAAGCACAAGAACCAAGAGTAGACGTAACATAAACAACACCATTAGGCTTTGGTTATACACATATACACATACTTGGTGATGAGTACCTCTTGTTGCTCCTCTTAGCGTCCTGTTTTTGGACGTTTCATTGCGTTTGAATTGAATGGAGAGACACTACCGCTTGGTCCTGGACTGTTTTCTCTCAAGTTTGAGTTCAGTAAAGCAAGCTCTCGTAATTGCTGCCTCTTAATGTAATCCTGTGACTCATCCTGCAAAAAGAATACACAAATCTTTGTGTTGTCTGATAGAATAGGCTCAAACCAAGGTCCTTGACCATTTTAAAACCTTGTGGTCTCTGAAAAAATAATTGAGAAGAAGTAAGTTAAAGCACGTACCACAGGTTTTACCAACTCCTCGATGATCTCTTGAGCATGTCGCAGCTTTATATCGACAATATCAGCAGGAAGATCAGCCTCGATGAGGATATGGAGCTGCTCATTGAGATGCTCATAGCCAGGCTTCCCTTTCAGTTTCTCTTCCTAGTGACAAAACATATCAAAGTAAAACATGAACAAAATTTTCAAAAGACGATTGGTTTACAGCAAAAAAAAGAAAAGAAAAAACTGTAGGCATCTCTTACTTTGTCAGGGTCCTTAATCGATCCTTTCCCTCTAATAAACACACGGCAACCCGTAGTTGCTTCCACACGCTTCAACGAGTTCCCTCTAGGTCCCAGAAGCCTTCCAACAAAATTGAACTAACACCAAAAACAAATCACTTATCAATTGATGTTTTTGTTTTGACCTCCACTTCACTGTCTAAAAGAAATCAGAGCCAACGAAACTTACATTAGGAAATGTATCAACTGGAAGATCTAAACGCAAGATACGCTTCACTGTGTAAGCGCTAGGGCTAGCAGGTGCACCTTGCCACTCCATTGCCATTCCATGAGGACCAACCATTCTCTACATTAAATTAAAAAAAAGGTTTCATTGTCTTCTGAGGATGAGAAACTGGAAGGGTTTATCAGATCTATACAAAAAGCCTAAAAGGTATACTTGGAACTCTTGTGATATTTTCTTAAGGAGTAACCTAGACTAACCTATCCTTATTGGGAAAACTATGTATTGAACGGGTATGCAGTGAACTATATACTAAAGATGGCACCACATATTCAAATAAGGAGATGGAGAGCTAAACCCATACCTCAATATTCCTTTGCAGTAGGAATATTAGGCTTTCTCCAACAAAAAGAATACATGAGCCATCCCATACATATTTTCATGTGCTAGTGGGTATCAACCACCACAATCCTCTGTTAAGAAATTCTATATGTTCTATTAAAGACAATCGAGGGCGAAAAGAACACTTCTTTAACAAAAAACAGATAAAGAAAAACTCTGACAAACACACAGAACCATGAGCATAACACAGCAGATAAAAGGAAAAAAAGTGGTTACCTCAGGTGGAAGACCATTCCAACCACCATATCCAGCACCAGGAACATTAGACATATGATTTGGTGAAGCCATTGGACTAGGGCTGCGATGCCTCAACCGATCAAAATCAGTAAACCCTTGGTTGGACATCATTCCACTAACCCGGAAAATCTCTGCAAAACAAAAAAGGAATACAAAAATGTCATAAACCCAATAAAAAACGAGTAAGAAACCAATGGCAGTAGCAGACTTCCACACATACTTATTCAATCATGGTTCTTCAATTAGAATGATATGATCCTGAAATTTAATTTTACAACTAAATCTATATTTGCTACCAAAGCTGGAAGCTTTAATAATATTAAAAGCAAACCCACAATAGAATCCACTACCTATTTTCATTGGTGAGAGTATACAGACAATCAAGAGAGAGTAAGACTCTAAAGCATCAATAAATAGCAGATCTAAAGAGAAAGAAATGAGAGTGAGACCTTGGTTTAAGAGACGGCTACATATGGGCAAGACTTGCATGAAAGGTCCAAGCTTTTGATGCTCTGCTAGCAACTGAGTTAAGTACTGACTGCAGAAAGATGAAGCAAAAGACAAAGAGATAGTTAGAGAGAGTTTCAGTGAAAAAGCAAGTAATAAGATTAGTAAAGGAGGAAAAAACCTGTCAACATCGGAAGTGGTTCTAATCTGGGGAGAAGCGGCTCTAGAAGGTGAGTAGGTCGGATTATACAGACCAGACATAATAGCAGAGGAAGAAGGGTTTTGGTTTTGCTCTCTCTCTCTACTGTCTTCACGCAATTTACATGTACCAAAATTTTTTGGTTTTTCTAGTTGTCTTCACCGAGACCATGTATCTGATATTTTTAAAATGAAAAAAGAAAAAAAGACGCTTTTGTTTTATATCTATTGGGCTTTGATATTTTCATTTAAAGCCCATACGGCCATTTACATTTAAAGCCCATAAGGCCCATTTAGTTTGTCTAAAACACTCTCAAAATCGTTTCCTTGGTGAAGTTTTTTGGATCTTTGCAAGTGGGAATCAGAAAGGAAGAAGAAGAAGATGTCGTTGGTGTGGCTAGAAGCGGCTCTACCTCTCGGAATCATCGGAGGGATGCTATGTATTATGGGAAATTCTCAGTATTACATCCACAAAGCTTATCATGGCCGTGTAATGACTTTTCTACCCCCCTTTACTTCTTTCGTTTCTCTCTCTCTTAGGGTTTGGACGATTTGATCCGATTGGATTTGGGATTTGAATTTTGAAATTTGGGAATTGAGCAGCCGAAGCATATTGGGCACGATGAATGGGATGTTGCTATGGAGAGACGCGACAAGAAAGTCGTCGAGAAAGCTTCAGCTCCGTCCTCATGATCCAATCTCATTCCTTTAGATCCATCAGGTCTGTTTTTTTTTTTTTTCTGATTCTATTCGTCTTCTATGTGCTCTTTGTTAGTCTATTTCGCTTGGATAGAGATGATTTTGCTTGTTATCTCGCATCTACACTAGTTTTGTTGTTTGAGAAGGTATTAGTGTGGCAGTGAGATTTAAATTTTGTGGGTCACTGTAAAGGTCTTTACTTTTTGGGCTCTAGATAATGTATATGCGTTGAAGAGGTTAATAATGTGTAGCACAAATAGATACACTACTGCTTAGTTCTTTGTTAGGGTTCTTGTTTGTTTGCTGTAATGTGTAGAATAAGACCTTCTTCGAGGGAAATGAATGTTATTATCCTGAGTGTTATGTGGGTTCCATAGATCATCCTAGGCGCTTCTGTTTAGCTCTTTGCCTCTTGATGTTTGTGGATGCTGTTTTTTTTTTGTTGTTGTTAATTTATCATCGTTTTGGAGCTCTGGGCATTGATTTTCTTTTTTCTCGGCATTGGAAATCTTATTTCTGCTTTGTGTGTTCTCCTTTGGTCTTGCGATGTAACTCTGAGTAACATGTTGGTGTGATGTAGGGACTTGAAGTGAACAACTTGTGGTCACAAATAAAGTGTATTCCAGAAGAAGAAGCTGGAGAATCTAGTTCTGTTATTCCCGTTTGAATTTTTTTTTTTTTGGAAACAAGTTTGGATAAAGCTTTGTTGCTTAAAAACCCTTTTTCTGATCTCAAAATTTGAGACCTGGATGACATTTGGTTTATAACTTCTCTATTTGTTTGTGATACACGCTGTTAAGTTGCATGACATTTGGTTTACAGTACACTCTTGCTGTCTGAATGAATAATAATCTTGAAAAATGGCTCATCAGAAACTTTACAGTACGGATAGAAAGAGAAGATTACCTTCTTCAGGTGTGCAATTTGTTGCGGCGGGTAGGAACTAAAGTGTGGTTGTAATATTAGATTAGGAGAGATTTTGAAGATATTTGATAGTCCAATGAAAGCTTGTGATGATGGATCACATGGTTTTATGGCCTGTAACTAATAATGGAGGATGATGAATGAGGTCGGTCAATGCCTCTGTCTTTGCTTGCAGATTCACATGGGGTCCCCTTGCTATGTCCCTTTCAAGTGGGCTCATCTCTTAATATCTTCTTCCAAATGGTCCTCTCTTGTTACCAAACCCTTGTTTTCTTAATACTATGTTCAGAGGAATTTTTGTTTCATGTCATTAAGTTGCTCTTACCAACTAAAACAACAGAACTATAGATTATGGCAGTTTTAAGAAACACCATCCATGAGTCTAAAGAGGAATCACTTTTCTCTTTTGTGAAAACGAAGCTTGTTTATATTTTACCGTTATGATACCTTTCAACTTTCTCTTCAGTTCAACAAAAGTTACAGACAGAGAACAAAATTAACGAATATTCTACAACATACGTTTCTTTTTGTTATAATGGGCAAGTACTTGTATGTCCTTAAAACATAATTAATGCATTTATAAAATGCACGTTGTCTTCATTTCTAAATCCAGACCTTAAGATTAGGTAATGATGAGACAGCACACATAAACTAACTGATTAAGAATGTCATGATGTCTGCACAAGTCAGAAGGTATAGCAATGATACATTTGACATTGTTGTCATGGTATATAAAAAATACGCATTATAGCACAGTGAGAACTAAAGCCAGCCTAATCCAATCGTGTTTTTCACATTTGACTAAAACTTGTGTTCCAGCTCTGTTCACAGCAAAGACTAGTACCTGCCGCATGAGTGCGATGACTTGTCTTATGAAGAGCAGCTAAGCGAGACAAATTCTGAATGAAAAACATAAATGTTTGTATCATGAAGCAGCTTCTATAGTATACATGGGGCCTGCATTGCAAGTCATGTTCACAAAGAAGACAGAAAAAAAAAAGACTACAAAGAAAGAAGTAGGAACTCTATAAATACAATCAATCTCATGATGTCTGCAGCCATTTCCTAAATAACAGAGCAGAGTACGATCAGTCCTTCATGATGTCAAGCTCTTTAGTTCCAAATTTGTTTTCTAAATGTGATCTTCACTAATAGTGAGGATGAACAAGTTGCATGAAGCTCATAGCTACAATAAAACACTTGAATCTCACTGAGACACTACTATCTTATGAAGAATGCTAAACTCAAGGTTGAGAATGGATGTTAACTCATGACATCATGCTATATTCTTGTCAAACAAAAGACGATGAACATTATTGCAAAAAAAAAAAGGATCACTGCTTTACAGCAAAAGTAGTTAGAAAGAAAACAAAGTGAGTGTACTCCAGAAACAATCCATATCTTCCACCAAAGTTAGTGATTAGAGTTGAGAACCCAAAAGGTGAAAACAATAATACTTATTTCCTTAAATCACCCGTAGAGAAACAAGATGAAATATAAGTTTTCAACTTGCTAATCACAACGAACAAATAATCAGCAAAAAAAAAAAAAAAACACTTTACCAGAAAGAAAAATAATTGAAAGTAACAAAAAACACAGATGTACACAAAGACGTTTTTCTAAGCTGCGTATTCAGTTTCAAGAACAGGTTGTGTACGAGTAGTAGTAGCAGTTGGTGCTCTTGTCTCACCCACCTGAGTCATCCTCAGAGCTTCCCCTGTCTCTCCAGCTCTCTCCATCTCCCTCATCTTCTCCTCTTTCTTGTAACTCCGACACCTCAAAACAAGTAACATCAAAAGCCCTAAAAGCACCAATCCACCCAACACAGAACCAACAGTAATCCAAGTCCTTGAACTAGACTCAGAGCTCTTCTTCTCCTTCTTCTTCCCCTCCTCACTCCCTGGAGGAGGAGCTGGAGAAGGAGCAGAAGCAACAGACTTCACCACCACAGAGAAATGTCCCTGCTTCACCGTCACGCATGTGTTCCCAACCGAATCACTAAAACTCGCTTCACCTCTAGAATCAAAACTAACACACTGAACACTTCCTCCTCCCCTCCTCCGTTCCAGATCAGAGAAATTAATCTTTATAGGATCCTTCGACGCCGTTACATCGAGCTCAGGTAAGTTAACGGCGGAGAGATTCTTGGCGTCGTAAGCGAGGAGAGCCACCACGGGAGCGAGATAGTCGTAGCCAGACAAAGGGTAGTAGAATTGAGAGAAGTTAGCTAGGTTTTGGTAAACAAAGACGAGTCTTGTCACGTACGGCTTCACGATGACTCCTCTCGGAATCGAGAACTCTTTAAGGGAAGAGACTCCTCGTCTCCTCAAGCTTCCGCTTCTTAGTCTCATCGCTGCGAGTTTGATTCCGGTTAGATTCGGAGGAGCCGTGGCGTCGTAGAGAATGCCGGTACGAGGACGAAGGAAGGCTCTAAAAGAGTAATCTTGGAGAAGAGAATCAAGAGAAGAAGAGGCATTGGTGGGAGGAGATTGAGCTGAGAGTTTGTAAGAGAGGAAGAGAAGCACGTGGAGACAACATAGAAGCCTCATTGTTTGTGTCCTTTTGCCTCTGGAGAAAGAAAAAAAAAAATCTCCAGGGCGAGTCAAAGGGGGTTAAGACTCAGTAAAGAGTCGGCGTCACGTTTGAGTGTGGAGAAGATATCAAACAAAAAGGGTATAAAAATTGAGACTTTATTGTTGAGAATTGTGGAGAAGAGAGAAGAAGAAGCAAATGGAGGAATGGTCGGCGGTGGGAAAAGGGAGGAGAGAGAGAGAGAGAGAGAGAGAGTCAAAAAGACAAAGAGGAGAAGAGGAGTGTGTTGTGTCTTCAGTCTCTCATTTGTTCACAAAAACTATACAGCCTGTTCATCGCATTTTCTCCTCTTTTTTTGTTTTCTCCCAATTAAATTAATTTCACATTCATATCTTTTTTAAGTAATTACTTTATTTCCGCCAATCAGACTGTTACATTTCAGCATTCGTTTCGCCGTAACAGTTGTCTGTATACCCTTATTTGTTATCTGTATATACTTTTCCATATCAACCGTATATACCTACTTTTATACAGAAAATAAAAATAAAACAATAATAAGCTTTCCTATTCTGGCCCAATTATCTTTGACCAATATATGGGCTTAGATGAGGCCTTAGCTGGTTAACATAAGCCCATTAACAAAATATTTACTAGCCTATTACAAACGTTATGATGAAGCCCATCTCGTAATCATCGCTTCTCATCTACTTGGAGGAGATAAGTGCGGAGTCTCCTTCCAGATTTTGAGCTCAGCCATAGATTTTTCTTACGCATCCCTCAAATGTTTTGTTATTGCAATTTTTTAGAGCTTAAATCAAGATATATGATTGTTCATTGGATTCATACATCATATATAAAGAATACAAATTCTGTAACGACGTAATGATAAATTAGTTTATGCGAGTCATGTAATCAAATTTGAAAAAAAAATGCAGATTTGTAAATCCATCTAGAGCAAGACACAACTCTTAAAAATACACCTACTTCATGTTCTAGGACATTCTTAACTTAGAATATTCGTTTCTGGAGCTTCAAAATATTTAACTTGAGCCCAAAGACAAGCCCATAATAAGGTCACCACGTCATCACTCACTTTCTCTATTTATAAACCTCATATTCGTCTCAATGTCGGAACCAACCTACCATATCTAACCACATCACCTCTTCTTCTTCGCCAATCTCCATAACAAGCTTTCTTTGTTTCTCCGCTGGTAAGCTTCTCTCTCTCACGTCTCAGATCTGCTCCTCTCTCTTCTGATTTCTCACGTGTAGATCTGATCAATCCAGCTATGGGTAGCTCCGGTAACGTTAACTGGAAACTTGAGGATCACCCTAAGCTTCCCAAAGGTAAAACCATCGGATTGATTGTTCTTGATGGATGGGGTGAATCTGAGCCTGATCAATACAATTGCATCCACAAAGCTCCAACTCCTGCCATGGATTCCCTCAAAAACGTACGTTCTCGCATGTTCCTAGATTAGTAACGATTTAATCATGTTAGGTTTAATCCCTAACTCATTTGTTATGTTAACCGTGAATATTTATATAAATGAATTTTGTAGATAACATAATTTCCGGTTAACATAATAAATGAACCGGGGATTAAACACTAAACCGTTATAGTATACTCTAATAATTCGTGTTTTGTGGATTTTAATGATTTCGTTATTATCAATAGGGACGTCCTGATACATGGAGGTTGATCAAAGCTCACGGCACAGCCGTTGGTCTTCCCAGCGAAGACGACATGGGAAACAGTGAAGTTGGTCATAATGCTCTTGGAGCTGGGAGGATTTACGCTCAAGGTGCTAAGCTTGTTGATCTCGCGCTTGAGTCCGGGAAGATTTATGAAGATGAAGGTTTTAAATACATTTCTGAGTCTTTTGAGAAAGGCACTGTGCACCTTATTGGACTTTTGAGTGATGGTGGTGTTCACTCTCGCCTTGATCAAGTGCAGGTAGCTTTTTTTTATACCTTTTATATAGCCCTTAGCATTCGGTTTTCTAGTTCTATAGGTTTAGGATATGTTCAGTATTTAGAAAACTCAGTTCGGTTTCAGTGTTATTAGTTTTTTTGGTCGGGTAACAAAGTTGGGAATTAGTTAATTTGTTCTGGTTTCATGGTTAATTCGGATTAAAATGTCTGTAAATTAGGTTTTTCAGATTTTCAGATATAAATTTGGATAATTTTAAATATTTTGGAAAAAAAATTTTAATTATTTTAAAACTAAATATAGTTGATATTTTAAGTATAAAAACTATATTACAGAAATTCGGGTGTATTTTTCGGTTTTAAAGATACATTGAAACCTTTATATATTAATAATGTTGGGACTACACCAAAACTATAATTTTTATTAATTTATTGACATACTATTTGAACTAAAAACTCAATACTAAAAACTTTTATTATTTTATAAAGATATTTAGTGTATATTAATTTATGGATTATTAATTTATAGAGATTCTATTGTATATGACCAGCTTCAAATAACTATCCTGTAATAGGATCCAAACCCAAGCCGAATCTCAATTTTTCAGTTCGGTTTATTAGGATAAATGTGCTCAAGCCCTACCTTATATCTTTAATGTGTTAAAAGTGTGTGGCCTTTGTTAATTTTCTTTATTTGTTGCAGTTGCTGTTGAAGGGTTTTGCAGAACGTGGCGCTAAGAGAATCCGTGTCCATATTCTTACTGATGGTCGTGATGTTTTGGACGGCTCTAGTGTCGGCTTTGTGGAGACTCTTGAAGGTGACCTCTCAGAGCTACGTTCCAAAGGTGTTGATGCTCAGGTTGCATCTGGTGGAGGTCGTATGTATGTCACAATGGACCGTTATGAGGTGAGTATAGAAGAATTCATGAACTCTAATTATGGCGGGAAAGTATTAGACTTTGACCTTTCAATTCATGATTCTGCTTTCCTTTGTTTGCAGAATGATTGGAATGTTGTTAAACGTGGGTGGGATGCTCAAGTCCTTGGAGAAGCTCCCCACAAATTCAAAAATGCTCTTGAAGCAGTTAAGAAGCTGAGGGCTGAACCTAAAGCCAATGACCAGTACTTGCCTCCGTTTGTCATTGTTGACGACAGTGGGAAGGCTGTGGGTCCAATAGTTGATGGAGATGCAGTTGTTACGTTCAACTTCCGTGCTGATCGAATGGTCATGCTTGCCAAGGCGCTAGAGAATGAAGAATTTAACAAGTTTGATCGTGTACGAGTCCCAAAGATTCGTTACGCAGGAATGCTCCAGTATGATGGAGAGCTAAAGCTTCCTAGCCATTACCTTGTTTCTCCTCCGTTGATTGACAGAACGTCTGGTGAATATCTTGCACATAATGGTGTTCGCACTTTTGCTTGCAGGTTAACTACTAGAATCTCTCAAATCTGTGTTGCCTTTTATTGCTGATCCTCATTTACAAGTTTTTTACTCTTTTGGATGTTTATCTTTGATATCTTCCATGGTTATTGGAAATGAAATTTTGAAAAAATTAACATGCCTTCTCTATTTGCTCGTTAGAGGTCTAGTTTATTCTTGGGGTTACTTGCTATTTGAAACTGGTGAAATGTCCTAGCAGTCGTTTTCTTGATGAGGTTATATACTTGAAGGTATGAGTTACTGACGTATTTGTATAACTGAAACAGTGAAACTGTAAAGTTTGGCCATGTTACCTTCTTCTGGAATGGAAACCGCTCTGGATATTTCAATGAGAAGCTGGAGAAGTACGTTGAGATTCAGAGTGACTGCGGAATATCATTCAACGAACAGCCAAAGATGAAAGCGCTGGAAATTGCTGAGAAAGCAAGGGATGCTATTCTTAGTGGCAACTTTGACCAGGTGAGTGCATGATCTTTATCAAACTGTTTATCAACCCCTTCCTAAATTCGTTTTCTAACTATGGTGTATTAATGAACTTTTGTAGGTGCGTGTTAACCTGCCAAATGGAGACATGGTGGGTCATACCGGTGATCTTGAAGCTACTGTTGTTGCATGTGAGGCTGCTGATATTGCTGTGAGGGTAAGATTTTCAATTTAAGTCTGTTACATGTGAATGTGATTGGTAGCAATATGACTCACAAGTGCTGCTGTGCGTTGTGCAGATGATCCTTGATGCCATAGAAAAGGTGGGAGGGATATATGTTGTGACAGCAGACCACGGAAATGCCGAAGACATGGTTAAAAGGGACAAAGCTGGCAAGCCCGCTCTCGACAAGGAAGGAAAGCTTCAGATTCTCACCTCTCACACCCTGAAACCTGTAAGTTCAAGCATTACTAAAAACTAAGTGTGACAAGAGTCTGGAAGTTGCAAAATGTGCATTAGACAAAGTACGGTTTTATTACCAGAAGTGAAATTCTGACATGATGTGTGTGTTTGCAGGTGCCAATTGCAATAGGAGGTCCTGGTTTGTCAGCAGGAGTTAGGTTCAGACAGGATTTGGACACACCAGGGCTTGCGAATGTAGCTGCAACGGTGATGAACCTCCATGGATTTGTGGCTCCGTCCGACTATGAGCCGAGTCTGATTGAAGTAGTTGACAAGTAATGATGGTGTGGTGATCGTTGTTCCCTCTGAAAGTCCCACTTGAGCTTCTCTAAATCATATGATTCTGTTTTCGTTATATTTTGTTATCGTGCTCTTCCTTTAATAAGGCCCTTGTTTTTTCGAGGGTGGCGATAAATTAGACTCGCCATCAGCTGTCGATGTGGGCCAAGTTAAAAACTGCATTGTGATGTTTTGTTTTGCACAAACTGATTTTAATTTTGAAAGTTTAAATAATAATTAAACTAATTACATAAAATTATTTGGATTGTAGGAACTGAAACAGAGAATTTTCGCATACAATTAAAATTCATTGAATGAAAATTATGATTTCGATGTATAATGTTTCTCTTGGTTTTGTACGTTATTACGTTAGCAAAAAAAATTCAAATCCATGAAAAGCAGAGGCATTTAACATAGCTTTAAACTAGTACAAAAGCCCAAATGATAAATGTAACAACTTACAAAACCCAAACACAGATCTAATCAATCAACAATCACTTTGATCACAAACAGACAAGAACCAGTTCTCGTCAGACAGATCTAATTCAATCAACAATCTCGAAGTAGCCTAGAATGATTGTTTGGAGAGGACAGCAATGATTGGAGAAGACGAAGAGGCGTTTTAAACCGAGTTAAAAGAAGCCTTTCCACTATATCACAGGCGAGGGAGACTGGGAGAAGAGTTAAAAGAAGAAGAAGCCTTGAGAGGAAAGAGTTGCTTGGAGAGGACGAAGAGGAATAGATTAGTGGAGCTCTGTGGTTATGCATCGATTTCATGGCGAATTTGAAGAAGAAGGAAGCTTTTGTCTGATGCTGAGACTGAGATCTCTAAACTTTAAACACTCCTCTGTTTCTTGTGTTCTTCGTAGATTCTGTTTTCGTATGGTGTCCACGTCAGATAGTTTTACCGTTTATTAGAACAGCGACAGCCAATCAAAACATTTCGTCCCTCTTGCGCTTTTTGTTGTAAAGCATGATACCATGGCATAAACTGATTTTCTTTTTCCTGGAAAAATATTTAAAAACCGAGTAGATTTATTTGTTTGGTTTTCATCTAAATTATATTCCTCATATTTATTTATTCGACGTTCTACGATTATACAAATAAATTAAAAAAATATTTATTTATTTTTTCTACAAAAAATATTAATTGTTTATCTAACCATAATTCAACAAATAATAAAATAGAACCTATAATTATCTTTTATCTAACATTAATTATTAATAAATTTTACATAAAAATTTGAAAACTTAAGATAGTTTAAAATAAAAATGTCCTCTAAAACATCAAATATAAAAAAAATAGATAGAGTACTAAACTTAAAAAAAATTAAAATCATCTGTAAAAAATAATAGGATTACAAAAATTGAATGATAGACAAAAATAGATAATAATCTTTGAAAATTAATCAAAAAGTGAATAAGAATCTTATTAGAAACTCATTGTTGATACTTTCTTTTTTTGTCAACGTGAAACTAGAAAGTTAGAAACTATCCAAAAAATAAAATAAAACAACTCTTGGTACATTATAAGGGAAAAATCTTACAAAAATTTGTTATTTGGTAACAAATCTGATTCCAACAATAGTCAATTATATATCTCAAATTCTTATTTATTAACACTAACTAGGTGTTTCACCAAACTGAAATTTTTTATAATTACTTATTAGTACAAGATTATAATGATAAATTATTATGTATGTTTTCATTTGAAAATTCTTACATATTATAATTTATTTTGAAACGGTCTTTGTTACAATATATTCATTATTAATAAATTAATATTAAAAATCATTCACTATTTTACTTCAATTATTTAATATTAAGAAGTTTATTTGATTATGTGTTTTCTGTTTTTGAATTTTAAAATAGTCAACAAAAAAAATTAGTCCTTATTAACATTAATTAAAAGCGTGACTCCAATTCTACTTCCTAGATTTGTAAACGCGTGACTCCACTTTTTCTTCCCTCCTAAGTTACTTACATGATATGTATATACAAAAACTCTCTTGTTATATGATCTTCTTCTCCTTCTTCCACCATCTCTCTTATTCACTTTCCTCATATTCACCGCATTTCTGATTCTTCTCCCCCCGGATTCTCTTACCGAGAACTGTTGTCAATCATGTCGGCAGCAAACGCCCCCATCACGATGAAGGAGGTCTTGACGGTGAGTTCTTCTTCTTCTACTCAATTATTTTGGCTTGAATTTGGACGTTAAGTTATGTTTTCTTAGCTGTACACTCTCATTTCCGATGACTAAGAATCTAAGATAATGCTCTTGTTTCATATTTTTTTAGTTTGTGTAATGCATGCATGTTACTGTCATAGGGATGTTAATAATGGGTTTTTACCCATAGGGTACCCGAAACCCGGTTAAAATTTGAAACCCGAAAACCGTATGTTTAGATTTTAATTTTCGCGGGTTTTCATTGGGCGGGTCTTGTGTTGGTAATTACCCTAACGGGTGGATCTCATTACTAAGTATACGAACTATGTATATCTATGTGACATAACGCTTGTTTTTTTTAATTTTTATTCCAGCTTACTAGCGTTGGGATCAATCAGCAATTCATCACGTTTAGAAATGTTACTATGGAGTCTGACAAGTTTATATGCGTGCGAGAGACGTCACCACAAAGCAGTGTTGTGATTATTGATATGAATATGCCCATGCAGCCTCTTGTTGATATGATTATTGATATCACTACAGATTCTGCTCTTATGAACCCTAACTCTATGATCCTTGCCTTGAAAGGTAAAGCATTTACAAGGTTTATTCCAAAGTATGTGTAGTTAAGACTACAAATCTTGTTTGCAGTAGATGTTTCCCTTATATTGGCTATTACTTTTCTTTTTGTTGTGTTCATTGTTTTCTTGATTATTGTATATAGCTCAAGTTCAAGGAACTACTCAGGATTCTCTACAGATATTAAACATTGAGGCACAATCAAAGCTGAAATCACACCAGATGCCTGAGCAGGTGAGTGTTGATGCAAAGATTTTGTAACAGATTTTGATTTGGGTTATTAATCATCCATTGTTTTTTTTTGTAAGGTTGTGTTTTGGAAGTGGATTACACCCAAGATGTTGGGGCTGGTCACACAAAACTCAGTGTATCATTGGTCTATTGAAGGTTGTATATCTTTTAGCTTACACCCATGCATCTTCTTACAATGTATATGTGATTCTAATGTTGCTTCTGATCATTACCAGGTGATTCTGAGCCAGTTAAGATGTTTGATAGAGCAACCAAGTTGGCAAACAATCAAATTATTAACTACAAGTGCTCTCTTAATGAGAAATGGTTGGTGTTAATTGGAATCGAACCTGGCTCCCCTGAGGTAGGTTGCATAAGAACATCAAAACTACATTAAAGTACTTGAAAGGTTCCTGACTGATCTTGGCATTATTGTTGTCTGTAGAGACCACAATTGGTAAAAGGAAACATGCAGCTTTTTTCTGTGGATCAACAGCAGAGCCAGGCTCTTGACGCACACGCTGCATCATTTGCTCAGATTAAGGTAATCTACTTGGTGCTTGAGTGAGTTCAATGGTCTAAGTTCTTGAACTGTAGTCTGACTTGAGACATTATTGATATTAGGTCCCTGGAAATGAGAATCCTTCTACCCTTATATCCTTTGCAACCAAGAGCTTTAAAGCTGGGAATATAACATCAAAGTTGCACGTCATTGAGCTTGGTGCACAACCTGGTTAGTATCCTTGATATTGTCACTGTTAGTTACTGTCTTTGGTTACATTTTTGTCTTAACTATATTGCAGGAAAGGCATCATTTACAAAAAAGCAGGCAGATCTCTCTTTTCTACCAGAGTTTGCTGATGATTTTCCTGTTTCCATGCAGGTTTGTATTTGCATTAGCACTTCAATTACATTGTAGTCTCTTATGGTGAAAGTTTCACTGACTCTGAATTCTCCTTTTTTTTTTCTGACAGATCTCTAACAAGTTTAGCTTGATATATGTAATCACCAAGTCTGGCTGGTTGTTTGTATATGATCTAGAGACTGCTTCTCCTATCTACAGAAACAGGATAAGTCAAGACCCAATTTTCTTGACTTCTGAAGCCTCTTCTGTTGGGGGTTTCTATGCCATTAATAGACGTGGACAAGTTCTTTTGGCTACTGTAAACGAGGCTACTATAATACCTTTCATTAGTGGTCCAGTATGTTTTTAACTTTTCTTCTATTTTATCCTAAACTCATCGCCATGTCATGCTAAGAAACCTATGTCCATGTTTGCAACCGTAGTTGAAGAATATGGAACTTGCTGTCAAGCTTGCTAAAAGAGGAAACCTCCCTGGTGCAGAAGATCTGGTATGAGATTGTTATTTTTCTGAAGCAAATGAAAGCTTATTTGGTAATGTGAAAGGGTTCTCATATTCAGTTCTGATGTTGCAGGTTGAAAAGCATTTCAAAGAGCTGTTTGATCAAAGGAAGTACAAGGAGGCTGCTGAGCTTGCTGCTGAATCTCCTCAGGGAATTCTAAGAATACCTGATACAGTGGCCAAGTTTCAGGTACTTCAAGCAACTTCTTTTATGTGAACATGTTTATGTGTATTTAAATGTCCTTAAAACCACTCAATGTGCAGAGTGTTCCTGTAAAAGCTGGGCAAACTCCACCATTGTTACAGTATTTTGGGACTCTTTTAACTAATGGGAAGCTCAATTCATATGAGTCATTAGAACTATCACGCCTTGTTGTGAATCAAAACAAGAAGAACCTGGTGGAAAACTGGTTAACAGAGGATAAGTTAGAATGCAGTGAAGAACTTGGAGACCTTGTCAAGGTAATCTTAAAATGGACTATTTTCCTGTAGTGTGTGATATGTTTTGTGACATAAATATTTATATTCCAGACTTTGGATAATGACCTTGCTCTGAGAATATACATCAAAGCCCGGGCACATCCAAAAGTTATAGCAGCATTGGTAGAAAGAAGAGAGTTTGACAAAATACTGTTTTACTCAGAGCAGGTAAAAATAACAAAGATCTAAAGTTTTCTTGCCTCTTTTTATGGTTATTTTTAAGCTTCACTGTGCTCAAGATGTAATCATTGTTTCATGTTGTGATTTTAGGCTAAGTACACACCTGATTACATGTTTCTTCTGCAAACCATACTACGTACAGATCCTCAGGTTAGTGCCGTGCACTTTGGATACTTGCAGCATCTTAATGTCTTAAAGAACTGGTCTCTCAATGCAATTTTGATACGGTGAAATTTGTAGGGAGCCGGAAAATTTGCAAAAGCGATGTCTCAAATGGAAGGAGGCTGTCCACTTGACATCAACACCATCACTGAGCTTTTTCTTCAGGTAGGTGAATGAGTGTAAACTTGTGTCTGCACCAGTATTCGTAGCCATTACAATGAACTAATTTTTTTTTTTTTTTTACATATTCAGAGAAATCTAATCAGAGAAGCTACTGATTTCCTTTTGGATGTGCTGAAGCCAAATTTACCTGAGCATGCTTTTCTTCAAACTAAGGTTGAAAGTTTGCTACCAACTTATATGTTTCTATGCTTTCTCTCTATTCACATTCTTAGATTCAACTGTCAATACAGGTTCTGGAGATCAATTTAGTAACCTTTCCTAACGTGGCTGAGATGATTTTAGCAACAAATATGTTCAGCCACTATGACCGTCCTCTTGTTGCTCAGCTTTGTGAAAAGGCTGGAGTTTATATCCAATCTTTAAAGGTTGGTGCTCTTTATCTTTCTTTTTGTTTCTTGGCTAAGTTAGAATTATATTTCCATCTCCAACTTCTTTTGCTTTTGATTTGTGCAGCATTACTCAGAGTTAAATGATATAAAACGTGTGATTGTCAACACACATGCTATTGAGCCACAGGTAATAATGCCTCTTAGCTGCTAAAATTCTTGAAAGTCAAGCTGTTAAACATCACTCTATGCAGGCACTTGTTGATTTCTTAGGCACTCTTTCTAGCGATTGGGCTATGGAGTGCATGAAGGAGCTTTTGCTGGTTAACCCAAGAGGCAACCTGCAGATAATCGTTCAAGTAAGTGGTGTATAACTATATGGTATGATGAATCTTAATTGTTTAATGTGACACTAACGTTTCCATGTAACCACAGGCTTGCAAGGAGTATTGTGAGCAACTTGGTGTTGATGCATGTATTAACCTCTTTGAGCAGTTTAAATCATATGAAGGGCTATATTTTTTCCTAGGCTCATATATAAACATGAGGTGATTTATATATAATCTACTGTTTTTTTCATGTAAACAAGCATGATTCTTGTGTTTGTATTCTGATGATTGACAATGTTTTTAGTGAGGATCCTGAGATTAACTTCAAGTACATTGAAGCATCTGCAAAGACTGGTCAATTAAAGGAGGTTGAGCGTGTGACTAGAGAGTCTAACTTCTATGATGCTGAAAAGACTAAGAACTTTTTAATGGAAGCTAAGCTTCCTGATGCACGACCTTTGATAAATGTCTGTGACCGTTTCGGCTTTGTTCCTGATCTTACTCATTACCTCTACATAAACAACATGCTACGTTATATTGAAGGTTATGTTCAAAAGGTATGTAACTTTGCTACTATTTTTAGAGTTCAGTGTTTCATTGAATACTAATAAGTGAGACTCCTTACAAAGGTGAGCCCTGGGAATGCTCCTTTAGTTGTGGGACAGTTGCTTGATGATGAATGCCCTGAAGATTTCATAAAAGGTCTCATCATCTCTGTGCGTTCATTGCTACCTGTTGAACCTCTTGTGGAGGAATGCGAGAAGAGGTGAATCCTTTTGATCAACCCTTGTTTTATGTATCTTTGTTCTTGAATCTCTAATATGTTTTCTTCTGATCTTTTTCAAGGAACCGTCTACGTCTCCTCACTCAGTTCTTGGAGCATTTAGTTAGTGAAGGAAGCCAAGATGTGCATGTGCATAACGCCTTGGGTAAAATCATCATCGACAGTAACAACAACACTGAGCATTTCCTGACCACCAACCCTTACTATGACTCTCGAGTTGTTGGTAAGTACTGCGAGAAACGTGATCCTACACTTGCTGTTGTGGCATACAGAAGAGGAACATGTGATGAGGAACTCATCAATGTCACCAACAAATACTCTTTGTTTAAATTACAAGCGAAGTATGTAGTGGAGAGGATGGATGATGATCTCTGGGAGATGGTTCTTGATGAAAAGAATGAGTATAGAAGACAACTTATTGACCAAGTTGTGTCTACTGCTTTACCTGAAAGCAAGAGCCCAGAGCAAGTTTACTCTGCTGTTAAGGGATTCATGGAAGCTGATTTGCCTCATGAGCTTATTGAGCTTCTTGAGAAGATAGTGCTTCAGAACTCTGACTTCAGTGGGAATTTCAATCTGCAGAATCTTCTGATATTGACAGCTGTTAAGGCAGATACATCTAGAGTTATGGATTATGTTAACAGGCTGGACAACTTTGATGGACCTGTTTTTGGAAAAATGGCGGTAGAAGCTCAACTATTTGAGGAAGCATTTGCTATTTTCAAGAAGTTTAACTTGCATGTTGACGCTGTCAACGTGTTGCTGGATAACATCAAAAGCATTGAGCGTGGTGCTGAGTTTGCTTTCAGGATTGAAGAAGATTCTGTGTGGAGCCAAGTTGCAAAGGCTCAACTCAGGGAAGGACTAGTCAGTGATGCAATTGAGTCATTCATCCGTGGTGACGACGCTACTCATTTCTTGGAGGTCATACGTGTTGCTGAAGATGCTAACGTCTATGATGATGACTTGGTCAGATACCTTTTGATGGTTAGAAACAAGGTGAAGGAAGTTAAGGTTGATAGTGAGCTCATCTATGCATATGCAAAGATTGATAGGTTAAATGAGGTTGAAGAGTTTATTCTGATGCCAAACGTTGCTAACTTACAAAGTGTTGGTGATCGCCTCTATGATGAAGCTTTATATGAAGCTGCTAAAGTAATCTATGCGTTTGTATCAAACTGGGGAAAGCTAGCTGTCACGCTTGTGAAGCTGCAACAGTTTCAAAGTGCTGTTGATGCTGCAAGGAAAGCAAATAGTGCAAAGACTTGGAAGGAAGTGTGTTTTGCTTGTGTTGATGCAGAGGAGTTCAGGTTGGCCCAAATCTGTGGCCTCAACATTATCATTCAGGTAAATAGAAACTCACCTAAACAAATATTGTCTAGTATATAAGATGTCTAACTCTGATTATTAATCAAAACCTAATTCATGCGGACATGACTAAAGTGGATAATATCGTACTAATTCTGGTAAATAGAAACTCATTTAGGTGCTTAAACAAATAATGTCTACTATATAAATAAGATGTCCAACTCTAAATATTACGAGACTTTTTAGAAAGGAACCTAAAACCAAATCCACACGGGTTTGTTTTTTAGGCATAAAGTAGACAATATCGTATTAATAGTTACTGAAAGAGTTGGACATGACTTTGAAAAAGTGTAACAGTTTTAGTTTATGAATGATATTATTATACCACAATGAAGCTCATACAAATCTCTTTTGGTGCTTGATAGGTGGATGACCTGGAAGAAGTCAGTGAGTTCTACCAAAACAAAGGGTGCTTCAATGAACTAATCTCACTTATGGAGAGTGGACTTGGGCTTGAACGTGTTCACATGGGTATCTTCACTGAGTTAGGTGTACTCTATGCTAGATATCGTCATGAGAAGCTAATGGAACACATCAAGTTATTCTCCACTCGTCTCAATGTTCCCAAGCTTATACGAGCCTGTGATGAGCAACAACACTGGCAAGAACTAACCTATCTCTACATCCAATATGATGAGTTTGATAATGCTGCGACCACTGTGATGAACCATTCTCCTGAAGCGTGGGAGCACACGCGGTTCAAAGAGATTGTTGCCAAGGTTGCAAATGTTGAAGTTTACTACAAGGCTGTGCACTTTTACTTACAGGAGCATCCGGATATGGTCAATGATCTTCTCAACGTGCTTGCTTTGCGGTTAGATCATACACGTGTTGTTGATATTATGAGGAAGGTTAGAAACTGACTTTATGATTATTTTTCTCCTTTGTCTTACTTAACAATTGGTTTCTTCTGATCTCAGGCTGGTCAGTTGCGTCTTATTAAGCCATACATGGTTGCAGTTCAGAGCAATAACGTCACTGCTGTTAATGAAGCTTTGAATGAGATGTACGTGGAGGAAGAAAACTATGATAGGTTGCGTGAGTCTATTGATTTACATGACAGCTTTGACCAGATAGGCCTCGCTCAGAAGGTAGACGACGGCTCTATCTCTACTACACCTTTTATGTCACTTTATATCTACTAATATGAATGGTGTGAACAGATAGAGAAACATGAGCTAGTTGAAATGAGACGTGTGGCTGCTTATATCTACAAGAAAGCTGGTAAATGGAAGCAATCAATTGCATTGTCAAAGAAAGATAACTTGTACAAAGACTGTATGGAAACTGCTTCACAATCAGGGGACAATGACTTAGCAGAACAGCTACTAGTTTACTTCATTGAACAGGTATGGATTGTCTGAACCAGGATTACATTATTAGTCAAGAAGATGAAATAAATATCACATTTGTGTTAATGCTTGTGGTGTTCTTACAGGGGAAGAAGGAATGTTTTGCTACATGTCTCTTTGTATGCTATGATTTAATCAGACCAGACGTTGCTCTAGAACTTGCATGGAACAACAATATAATCGACTTCGCCTTCCCTTACCTTCTCCAGGTAACTTATCTTTTCTTGCCTTGATGATGAGACATGTACCAAATGAAGAAACTCTTATTCATTTTCTTTGCAGGTAATGCGAGAGTACACAGGCAAAGTGGATGAGATAATCAAGGACAAGCTGGAGGCACAAAAAGAGGTGAATGCCAAAGAACAGAAAGACAAAGAAGTCATGTCCCAACAGGTAGAACATAAACATCTATGACTATACATCATCTCAAGCCTTTCCTTTCCTTGACAAACTAACTTAAAAAGTGGTTTTGTTTCTTTGATTTTAAAATCAGAACATGTACGCACAACTGTTGCCACTAGCTTTACAGGCACAACCGATGCAACTAGCTTTACCGCCACCACAACAAATGGGAGGGATGCCTCCCATGCCACCATTTGGAATAGTGCCACAAATGGGTGGCTAGTAATACACCACACACTCTAGTGTGAATCATATTCCCCGTCGTTTGAGTTTTATAAGAGGTGTCTGAATAATTAATCTAAATTTCGTTGTAATTGGTATTCGAACTCAGGATGATAATAATCTACCAGCTTAGTGTTATGTTCAACGACCTAACAATCCTACGCATAAACTTAACTATAAGATCACTATTGAACCTTAATTATAACCAGATTGAAGAAGATAAATGATAAGATCGAGAACTAAAAAAGATCCTTTCATGTAATAAAACATAGTTCTGATTGCAAAGCATAGGTCCAGCAAATAACATTGAAATACAGATAGAAAAACCAACAAAACACTCTCACAAAATGTCGGTCTAAACAGATTAAGAAAACTACTTAGATCGCTGTCTCATCTTTCGTCTCTTCCTCTTCAACCTCCTCATACGCTTCTTCTTCCACTATTACAAGCCAAAAACAAAGACGCACGATCAGTAATATCCTAAGAGTTTCTAACCAAACTACTTATGTTTCTATGAGTTTAGAATTCTACATATTGACGTAAAAGAACGTTACTAACCTTAGCTCTCATGCTGAGTTTCGCTGAAGATCTCCTCCTCGGATTTGTCTTTAGATTTCAGATGAAAAGAGAGGCGGAGATGGTAGCTAGAGATTTTTAAGCTCGAGCTCAGTTACAACTTTATAAGCAGGAAAACCCTAGAAACTCGTTTTATGGGCCGAACAAAGCCCAAAGCCTTTTTGCAGCTTCAAAGCCAACCATTGTTGACACTTAAACCCCACACCAGACCGACCTGAAAATATCCGATCTAAAAATTTACAAGTACTTATCTGATTCAAAATTCCTTTATCCGAAAGAACCGCAAATGAAAAGAACCGATCCGGATAGATCCGGATTTCAAAAGAACTGATATGAATAGACTTGACTGGATAAAGAACCGATTCATATCCGATTTAATAACATGAATATCTAAAACTATAATTTTTGTGTTCTATTTACTATATTTTATTTTATGATTTAGTTGAAATATATTTTTGTTAACCATCTTTATTATTATTTTTATAATATATTTAAGTAATGTGAATTTTAAATATAAAATTTAAAGACTAAAAATGTTTTATTTTAGTTATTAATAGTTTATTTTAATTTTTTTTTTAAAATATAGATATGTATAATCAATTTTGATTAAATTTGATAGAATTTGGATATTTCATATCCATTCACATCTTAACTGTCCGGAGTCCCGGATAGAAAATGGATCAGAGTATTATAGATATTTTACAGGTATTTTAATTATAGATCCGAATTCCTCCGGATTTGAGAAAAACCGACCTACTCCAAACCAAAATTTTACAAGTACAGTAAAACCTCTATAAATTAATAATGTTGGGACTTTGAAATTTTATTAATTTATAGAGATATTAATTTAGGAAAGTTTTCTTATTTAGATTTTTTTTCTATTTTTATTTATAAAATAAAAAAATATTTGATTTTAGCATATGTACATTATTTAAATTGTAGAAATTTGACTTTTATATTGTTTTATTATCTTATTTGGTGTATATTTTTATATTTTATAGAATTATTACATTGTTTTCGATGTAATTTAAGTAAATATTATCAAAATCTATTGAAATGTTTAAAAAATAAAAGTATTTTTAGATTAAATATAAATCCCCTAACTAAATATTATCAAAATATACTGAAATGTTTTAAAAAAGTAAGAGTATTTTTATAGTAAATATAAACCAACAATATAATGTTAGATTGTACTTATATAAAATTATATATAGCTAGATTATTAATTTATGATTTTAGTGAACCATATATTTACATGGCAGATTTAAAAATATTATTATCTTATTATTTTATCGATTTGTGTCAGATTTTACACTAGCCCAAGTTGAGACCGGTGAAATTTATTAATTTATAGAGATTATTAATTTATCGAGTATTAATTTATAGATTGTATATTGAATCTAAAATTCTAGGAGCCACAAGAAATTGGACCCAAAAAGATCTGAACGTGCAGGCCTAATTGACAAATATTAGCTCGTGCTCACCCTAGAAACTCATTTAATGGGCTTTATTAATACATGGAGCCCAATAAAGCCCAAAGCCTTTCATTGCTTCACAGACAGCCATGTTGTCGACAGACAGGATAGATACTTGCCTTTGGGGTATATTCGCACGGGAGAGACAGATCTTCATCTTCCAGAAGGCTGAAGGTATTGATTGATTTTTCATTAAATATATTCACAAGAAAAAAACGAAGAAGATAATAATAATTTCTGGTTGAATACAAAACAAACAAACCTCAAACAAAAAACTAAATAAATTATTCTGACTTCTTCATCCAATTCAATCATCTCCCTCCCTCCCTCCCTCCCCACACAAAGGATCTCCTCTTTTCCTCATGTCGAAGCAAACGTATAGAGTGTGTTTCTGCTTTCGCCGGAGGTTTCGGTACACCGCATCGGAGGCGCCTCGTGAGATCAAAAGCCTATTCGAGAAATACTCGGAGAATGGGGTCATGACGGTTGATCATCTCCAGAGGTTTCTGATCGATGTTCAGAAGCAAAGTAAAGCGACGAGAGAGGATGCGCAGAGTATCATCAATGCAGCGTCTTCTCTTCTTCATCGGAATGGTCTTCATCTTGATGCTTTCTTCAAGTACCTTTTTGGTGACAACAACTCTCCACTTGCTGGTCATGTGGTAACTAACTCTCTTGTCTCTCTGTCTTTTCTATTTTTTTAAAAAATTATTATTGATTTACACTCAGATTTGGATTTGTATTATTGTTTTGATTGTTTCTTAGCTAAGGAATACGAGAATTTTTAGAATGATAAATCTTGCTGGGTGTTTCACTTAGTCGGATTCAAGATTTTGAAGCAATTTTAATTGGTTTTCTTTATATGCGAATGACAAAACACACAAATTTGCAGAAAGTAGCAGAGATATGTACTTTTCAGACAAGAGTCATGTACTCTTGTTCCGCTGTTTTTTTTTCGTTTTTTGGTAATATGATTGATTCAAACACAGATTTGGATTTTAGATTATTCGTTTTGATTCTTTCTTAGCTAAGGAGTCCGAGATTTTTTTAATTTAAGAGTTTTTTTTTTGAAGCAATTTGTAATTGTTTATTCTTTAGATGTATACCTACTGTGAGTGTGAAAGACAAAACAGAGATTTGCAGAAAGTAGCAGTAGCTATGTACATTTCAGACAAGTACATAGGAACCCTGACACAAAATCTATGCACAATTAATTAATTAAAAATTGAGAGACTGCTTCAACTTCATGAATTTTATTGTGGCTATTTTATGCTAGCTTTTTTCTTTTGAATTGGTTCTCGATAAATCTTTTTAATGAATTCATTTGTATAATTTTTTACAGGTGCATCAAGACATGGATTCTCCTATATCGCATTATTTCATATTCACTGGTCACAATTCATATTTGACTGGTAACCAGCTGAGCAGTGACTGCAGTGAGGTACCTATTATTGATGCATTGAAGAAAGGTGTCAGGGTGATTGAATTGGATATATGGCCTAACTCCAACAAAAATGATATTGATGTTCTTCACGGAAGGTATTAATTTTACTGAAATTTGATATAGTGAAGTCAAGGTTGTTGTGTACATTGACTGAACCATTCTAACAGGACTCTCACTGCACCTGTGGCGTTAATCAAGTGTCTAAGAGCTATCAAAACACATGCCTTTGATGTATCTGACTACCCTGTTGTTGTGACTCTTGAAGATCATCTTACTCCAGAACTCCAATCTAAAGTTGCTGAGGTAAGCCTTCAAAGACTTTTGTTTTCTAGTTTTAGTAGATCATCACATTGAGTTTAGAGATGCCTTGTTTTTGCTGTATTCTAGATGGTTACGCAGATATTTGGAGAAATCTTGTTTACTCCTCCTGTGGGAGAATCTTTGAAGGAGTTCCCATCGCCAAACTCTTTAAAAAGGCGGATTATCATCTCAACGAAACCCCCAAAAGAGTACAAGGAAGGCAAAGATGAGGACTCAGTGCAGAAAGGTAAATCTTTAGGTGATGAAGAAGTTTGGGGGAGAGAAGTTCCGAGTTTTATTGACAGGAACAAAAGTGGTTACAAGGTTTGTATGGAGACAAAATCATCTTCATTCAGTTCTGTTTGTGTCCTTAATTTTATTTCGTGTTGCAGGATGACTTAGATGAGAATGATGATGATGAGGATGATGACGAAGATGATGATGGAGACAAGTCCAAGAAGAACGCACCCCCGCAATATAAAAATTTGATTGCAATCCATGCTGGGAAACCAAAAGGTGGAATCACTGAGTGCTTAAAGGTAGATCCTGATAAGGTAAGACGCCTTAGCTTAAGCGAAGAACAACTTGAAAAAGCAGCAGAAAAATATGCAAAACAGATTGTGAGGTATGGTCATATAATTTTTATTACCTTATCCAAAGTAAAAATTACAATCCTGTTAAATCATGGTGTGGTTCAGGTTTACTCAGAGAAATCTGCTGAGGATTTACCCAAAAGGAACTAGAGTTACTTCATCAAATTACAACCCCTTGGTTGCCTGGAGCCACGGTGCTCAAATGGTGGCTTTCAATATGCAGGTTTCCTCTTTTGCTATATCCCCAACATCTTTTCACTTTACAGGACATCGAGCCAAGTCTTTAATAAAATCGTTTTCATGTACAGGGGTATGGAAGATCATTGTGGCTAATGCAAGGAATGTTTAGAGCCAATGGAGGATGTGGATACATCAAGAAGCCTGACATTCTGCTGAAAGGTGGCTCGGATAGTGACATCTTTGATCCTAAAGCTACTCTACCTGTAAAAACAACACTGAAGGTGAGTTAGCTGAGTCTCTGTTTGATCTTTTTCCAATGCATATACGGATGAACTCTTTATGTATCTTATCCTTAGGTAACTATATACATGGGAGAAGGCTGGTACTTCGATTTCCGTCACACTCACTTCGATCAATATTCACCTCCTGACTT